ATTGCGCCTTTTTCAATTCGCCTATCAGCAGAAGCAAATCTTCACGATTGTCGGCGCATTTTATGACGTAAAACTAAAAAAATCCATTATCGTATTATTCAAATAAGAATTCAAATAACCGAAGTGGATGCGAACATCACGACAGTCCTTCGTGACAGTCCTATTGGGATTCGAATGCATACGAAATTGCCGCAGTTTGCTTCTTATACAGTTTTTGATTGCAAAAATGCCGCTCCGAGACCTCTGAATTTGAATTAAATGTCCCCTTTTTTGATTTAATTAGGTACCTATTTTGAATCTTCCATGCACTTATCTACTTCTGTGTAATCCTCTTTATTTCATCTGTTTAAATGACACCTATAGTTAGTTGATAATGAAGTTAATAGTGATGAATATTATCACATGTGAGGGATCTCTGGTAGAGTAATAGTTAATTAGCCTTATGGGGGCCAATTAGCAAGAAGTTGGGATGACAGACGGAATGAGACGCGTCTGTAAGAAAGCCTTTATGATCATTTTGACCCCCAGACGGAATAACGTTTCCCACATCGCATGCATTTGTCCATTTTATGATTTCAATTAGTGGTTTGGTTCGGCAAAGATAAGTTCATTCGCCTCTTTTCTCCCTTTCGTGTCGGTTTAATTGTTTAAAATGGTCAGTCATTCGAGTAATTATTTTTAGTACTTTCATTTATTTTAGTCATTTTATAAATACGCCGTAACTATGGCGCGGATAAAGCGCATTAAAAAATACTATACGGTTTTTTCGCTTCACTGCCAGCGTGAAGTATCGCCATACAATATTTTATTGTTATGGATTTTAACAATGCATAATATAACACAACATAAAACCGGAACTACCGCTGAACTACAGGATCGAAATTCAATATTTCTTTCACGAGAGTCACTGCTACTGTGGTCTTTATGTATAAAATATTTCAAACTGAATCTACGGTTCGACAATTTATCTTCATACCAGCTTTATTGCGTTAAATAAGAGGAAAACTAAAGTAACAGTTTTCTGTTTATAATAGAAAGAACTTTTTGAGACTTTTTCTCAAAACACTAGATTTAAAACAGATTTAAAAGTGGACGATTTTATTATTTCATTACAATAGCTTCAGCAGAGCTTTTTTGCAGAGCTGTTATTTAGGTAAATTGTATGGCGTTTTAAGCATAATTCATTACAATTACTATAAGTACAATATTTATGACACTATAATATGCTGTTGTGCCGTAAAAGCATGTAGACCCAATTTCGCCGTGTAATTATAATTTTAATGTTTTATGGAACGAGCCCCAAGTTGAGCCCGGCTCTATTTAAATAAAGGAATGAATAAATTTCAGATAAGCTCAGCTTTAAGACGAAATTCATTTTGGTTAAAGCTAAAGATGATTCTCCTTATTCACGAATTTAAATCGCATTCCAGGTAATTTAATCCTTTCTTGTACCATCGGAACATAAAAAGAAACTTGTGAATTGCGACGTGATTTCAATCTTTATCTCGCCTTAATTCATACCTAACTGCAACACGGTCTATATTTCCTGAAAACCTGCAATTTTCACGTATAACAATATATCTTCGGGCTCGATTCTTCGAGACACACTAACAACTGTTATTTATCTGCAGTTGGAACTAAAAGGCTTTTACATATAGATCACATTCATTTTTAGCTGATACTATCTTCATGATAAATAGCAAATAATATGTATTTTGGTTTACTAATTATTCTTTCCCTAAAATGAATATAATCATGCAAGTAGATAATAAATTGTTGGCATGTAAATTCGATCTGATGCTATTGTACTAATAATTATTGGAAATTAATCCACTCAACAGTGATTATCGAAATTAGACATTAATTTCGTCAGATACAAGCAATAAATAATGCGGCTGGAGTTATAGGAGTTGTATCCATTACTATGACATATTGGGGCCGTCAGACTGTGCGATAAATTTTATACGTGACCTTTTCCGTATTGCAGACAGTACATTTACTATACATAGTATGCTAATTAGTCTACCTGCTAAATTCCCTATCGATTTTCCCTCCGAACACGTTTCGGGACTTTTCTATCGATGCAGTCGCATAAAGCTGTGCGACTGAAATATACGGTTGTGATTCAATCTCTCTTAACTTGACACTCAATTTAAATACTTTATCGAATCCTTGTATCTCACCATTCCGTATCGGATGTCATTGTGTGTACTTACATAATATATTCGATAAGTCGGTTTGGGATAAATAAATCTTTGGCTCAATAATTTACTGGTGTTACTTGATATTTAAACATTTACAGAGAAATTCAATTTTATAATGTGTTCTTTAATTATTTATTTATATCAGGAAAATTTTGTTAGATTTCGTGTGGTATATACTAGATAATAGATGGCCTTTTTTTTCCAAAATGCGACAAATTCGCGTTCATGTCCGACGTTAAATTTGTCCTTGATGGTAAAGTGCACAGGCCGCAATTAATTCGTGCAAGTTTTATCCATTAGTATCAATTAAATTTACGACCGTAGAGTACGGAATAAAAAACGGCGTTCATAATTTTGCATCAAGAGAATTTCAACATTACTATGCGGTCGTGAAAAATTACGGTTTTTATCGCGCGAAAAAATATAAAAGCTCCCAAGGATTTTTAATAAACGTTTAAATGTCCTAGGTTTTAAACCTAACTGCTAATATATCATTTGAGGGCAGGGTGAAAAGGCAATTTGTAATTAAAAATATAAAACCGCGGAACGCAAGTGAATAATAAAATAATAAGGCAGAATCAGAGTAAGTGATTCAGCTGATTTACGTTTGAGTGGAATGAAAGACAAATAATTTGAAATATGTAATTAAACCTTGATGTTTAAATGAACAAATATGATTAATGTAAGAACAAAACTTAACAATCATATTATTTAATGAAACTAAAAAGCAAACAGGGTGAGATAATGGCTTTTCTCTTGCAGTTATAACGGTTATACGTGTTCTTAATGTCGAACAATTATTTTAATTATTCCATTGTGAGCTATAGTATAAGAATTAATGAGTCTTTATAATTCGAACATTACTTATTAAAATTAAAAATCACTTTTGTAACACATTGGAATATACTACCCATATAAAAGGCATTTGTGAGAATTTTAAATTGCAAGTATTACGAACACACTTTTTATTATGTTGTACTTGCAAAAATATTTTGCATTCATTTCAAACTAAAATGAAAATGTTACACATTACTTTCTAACGCCTAATTGGAATCGGCGCTAAAAAAGCTCTTTCGGCGGCTCTTTTTGAATTAAAAATGAGCTTCATGTTTGAATAATTCAAGCACAAAGATTAATCTTTTTTTTCTCTTTTTCCACGCTATTCCGCAGGACTCAAATGTAAGTTATTAAAATGCGTTTTTGCTAGCAGCATGAAATTCTAAATGTTGTGATTTTGTAAGCGTTTGTCAACATTTAATATGTTTTTTTTTAAGTAGTTTATTTTTTATAACGAAATTTTGTTCATGTTCTTGCGTTATGTTTTCATAATTTATGTAGCATATAATATTCTCTCGACTTTGAAAATGTTGTTTGCAAATTTTCAAATTTAGATATCTCTAAGCGATTATTTACCGAACTCCTTTAAAGGGTTATAAGCTCCAGTCATTAGGTATATATTGCTTTCTTCAACTCCATCATTATCTGGAAAATTTGTTTGCTCTCGGGATTTCGGTGGCATTAAATTAGTTGAAGCGTCCACAAGCAACTGGTTTTCTTCTTACTTAAAATTAATATCCTTAAAATCCTTCGCGACTAGTCAGCAATAATGAGGCGTAGAGTATTCTAATTTATGGACGTCAAATATCCTCTCTCCGTAGGGAAAATAATTCATTTGTGAATTATAAAATTCGCTTTTTAATTCAGTTTGCAGAAAGCTGTATGGATTCTCAATGTATGAATATAAAAATACAGTTAATTAATGTTTAATTATTTCAAACCCCTTAGTTCTTTATTTTATTAATTTTATTATCAATTTAACTTCCACCTTTCTACGAATATCTATCTACAAATAATGGATAATATAATAAATTACCAAACCAAGTTCGTTTTTCACATGGACATTTCGTGTTTTCCCATGAGCATTCGTGTTAGGTAAAAAGGTTCCATCCCCAGACACTCATAAGCTTCCTGGAGTTTCCATGCCTTCCCTTCATCCAATATTTCTCTAATATTTCCAAATGCGGAAGACTTAACAGCACATTTTTCTAACTGCACGTCAGCCTAATGGCAACAAACGTTTCTAGTAGACGGTTCTCAACGTTTCATAGATTTATTTTAAACTGGATTACTGACTACCGAAAGAGAGGAACTACAAGTATTACAAAATTTCTTGTATTCGTTTATATTTTCTACTGCAGGAATGGAGTACATTATTAACAAGAAAATGTCTTGTTTCCTTCGTGAAATTGATCAGGAAAGTGAAGATATGCTTTTTGTAACTGTAATACTTGTCTTGGTACGAGAGAATGATCTTATGTTTATGTTGCTTGTTATTTATATTATAACTTCTGTTTATTCTCAAGAATGTGTTTTGCTCTTTAGGAAACAGCATATCCACTTTCAATATAATAATAAGCATGTTATAAATTTGTTGTTTGATTAAAGTTAATATAAAAGTATTGTACAAGTTCTTGTTCAATAAATTGCATGCAATCAAAACAAGAACACGTTCTTTTGTAGTTTTAGAACCCTTTACAGTTCAATTGAATGCATACAATAAATAAAAAAACCTTTTCGTACCTTCACACAATGTATGTTTAATTATTACGCTTACAATCCCTATTGATTGCAGCTCAAAGTTGCATTAGCAAAAAAAACGCATTTACGGAAGTCCGTAGAAAGTCTCGAATTCGCTCCCTATACCCTAGCGCAATATAAAATTCAAGCCAAGTACAAAGCGCGCTTCCACACTCGAATTACCATCGCCCTAACGCATACGCTATCCTCGTCTTTCAGACACCGACAACCAGCGAGTGATTATCCACGTGCGAGACGTCAACGACGAGCCACCCTATTTCATCAACCGACCCTTGCCCATGCAGGCCGTGGTGCAACTGAACGCGCCCCCTAATACGCCCGTTTTCACCCTCCAGGCTCGTGACCCCGATACGGACCACAATATACATTATTTCATCGTGAGGGACAGGACCGGCGGCAGGTTCGAGGTACGTATACGTGACTCATCTCCCTCCATTTGTCCAGGAAATATTGTATTCTGTGACGGAGAAATTCGATTACCTCGTGCTTTCGAGGAAATTATCTCCGATTCAATGATCTGCGATGTTTCGCGCTTAAAATTCTCGAATAATAACGAATCAGGAAAACGGTTGTATTTCTTACAACTGTCTAAAAACGTTAGCGGTAATGATTTATTACACGTCTGTGCGAATTAACTTTTGATATTAACGGGAATGGAAATTTATGGTTGTAGCAGAAACTCCTACTGACGTGTCGGGAACGCGAAATGAATGACAATAAAATCTTGGGGGTGAATGATTAAGATTTACAGGAATGTAGGTATAATTCCCTCGGGTTAAGGCTTGACCGTTGTTCCATTAGCTGATTAATGTGAATTACTCGTTTCGTTAATCGCACGTACTTCGATTAATTTTATAGCAATTTGATGAAAGTGTTTATACTTTTAGTCAGTATCTACCAAAACCCTCTCTGCGTTTTAATCTTCTGTAACCATTCTTTCGGTCCTTTATGATGCAAAATATGTTGCTTCGCAGGTTGATGAACGCTCCGGCGTGGTTCGAACGAGAGGAACCGATCTGTTCCAATTAGACATGGAATACGTTTTGTACGTCAAAGCTGAAGATCAAAACGGCAGATTAGACGAAAGGAGATTCCAGAGCACGCCCGAGGAACGACTGTCCATCGTGGGTGGAAAGCGAGCGCCTCAGTTTTACATGCCCAGTTACGAAGCGGAAATCCCTGAAAATCAAAAGAAGGATTCAGAGTAAGTAAATTATCAACAACGAAATTCGCGTAGGTGTGTTTTATCACAATACAACTCATCCATAACGCGTCTACATTATCCCCATAATTCATTAATCCGGTAGTAATTCGAAAATCGCGTACTTTTTATCGCGTGTTTCCAGTTCCTCTTTGCGCTTTTCACGGGCGTACAATTAGATTAGGATGCATCAGACTGTTTGCTATCAGAATTCTGTTTACACTGGCGAAACGGGATTAACGAAACAAACTTCTAATTAGCTACCAGACCTGCGAACGAACAATACGCTAAATGCACTTGCTGTAGTTTCGCAAAGTTGTAACCCGGCGATGAGCCGCCATTAAGAGTTTTTATGCGAGTTGAGAAACAAGCTGCGGTTATTTTTTTGCTACCGGTGTTTTTTGACGGCGGCTCTGAAGTGTGATTTATATTTTGATTAGTATTCGTTTGCGGACCTTCGTCGACGGAACGATAACTCATTTTTACACTTTTTTACCGTAGGTACCATTCGGTGTAGGAAAAATAGGCGTGAAATACAAATGAAGTTAAATGTATTAATTAACGGGTTTGTACTGACGAAATAAAACATTCAATGGAATCGCTCGTACAAATTCTGCTGGTGGATATTCGACAAATTCAAGACGATAGCGTTGATGATACTCACTTGAGGTTGAATTTCCATAAATCCGACTACGACGTGATATTACAAAATATTAGAGCGTTTGGGGGATTTAGCTTGTTCCAAGATGTAACGGCGCTTTAGGATTTACGCAAAATAAAATAAAATAAGAATTACGTGCCGTGCAAGGAAATGCGACTAATACAATTTGTACGGCTCGGTTGAAGAGAAACGTCACGTAATGGGTATTTGCTCTTGTTACTAGGATTGCTGAAACGCGGTATCTAGCAGCAAAAACTGGAGTTTATGTTCCACTAGATGTTTAAAAATCACTGCCATTTGACTCCATAAAATTGCTTCTCTTTTTTGGGACAAAAGCTTTTTCTTGTTTATTGATAGTTTATGGGACCTCCTAAATATATGGAAAATTAACTGAATGAGATATTGCACTAGGGTTTACACATAAGCATAATATAGATTTGAGGTAAAAAAAAGAACTTTTATCAAAATGAGCAGAAAATTTATAAATACTAGACTTAATATTGCCATATTAATGAATCTGCTAGTATTATAAGTACCCTACTATTACCCTACTATTACTATGTAGTTTACAATAATAGCATAGTACCTAATTCCATTAGTTGCTCCTGCAGTTTTTTAAAACTACGCGAGCCAAACTAATGCAGTCTAAAGATTTACACTTGCCATTATCGTTAATTCATTCAAAAAGGAAACGCCTCGGATAATACCTCCGAAATATAAATAAAAGAAATTTATGATACTAAACGGTAATTAATTTTCCCAGAAGTGTTTGCTTAGGTTTAAAGATAAACCACATCACCTGGTGTTTAATTTAAGAGAATAGGGTAAATTTCGGTCTGGTGTGCATAAGCACCCATTAAGAATGTGATTATTAAAATTAACGCTATTCTAAGACACAGTGCATTATAAATATTAATTAATCGCTTTAAATCTCGCCGAAGAAACAATGAGCTGAGTTACTCATTATTATGTTACATTTTTCAGCATTATATCAGTAAAAGCGAAATCCTTCGCCGATCGTGAAATCCGGTACACGTTGAAAGCCCAAGGACAAGGCGCCGGAACTTTTAATATCGGTCCCACCTCGGGAATCGTAAAATTAGCAAAAGAATTGGATTTCGAGGACTTGCGACAACCGCACGTTTATTCCCTTGTCGTCACCGCTACGGAAGATTCCGGAGGATTTTCGACATCTGTAGAGGTGAGTTTTCAACATTAATAACTTTTAAACTTCATTTGTATGTTTCTAATTGATTACATTTTGATATTTTAGTTAACGATACGAGTGACAGACGTGAACGATAACGCACCGAAATTCGAATTGCCCGACTACCAAGCTCACAACGTTGACGAAGACATCCCTCCGGGAAGCAGCATCTTGAAAGTCAAAGCCATGGACGCGGATAGCGGCACCAACGCCGAAATAGAATACCTAGTATCCGACGATCATTTCAGCGTCGATCCAATGGGGATAATCTCCAATCACAAGCAGCTAGATGCCGATAACAACAACGCTTATTACGAATTCGTCGTTACGGCCAAAGACAAAGGCGAACCGGCGAAAACCGGAACCGCCACTGTTAGGGTCTACACCAAGAATAAAAACGATGAAGAACCGAAGTTTTCCCAGCAGGTTTACACCCCTAACGTCGACGAGAACGCCGGTCCTAACACGCTAGTGACCACTGTCGTAGCTTCCGATAAGGACGGTGATAACGTTAGATTCGGCTTCGTAGGCGGAGGAACGAGTTCCGGGCAATTCGTAATCGAAGAAATCACCGGTGTGATCCGGTTGCACAACAAAGCCATATCACTGGATAGGGACAAGTACGAGTTAAACGTAACCGCCATGGACGACGGCGCTTGCTGTCCCAACGGGGACGCCACCATTCACACGAGCACTGCCGTGGTCGTGGTCTTCATCACCGACGTCAACGACAACAAACCGATCTTCAAGGACTGCGGAACGTACTATCCCAAAGTGGAAGAAGGCGCTCCGAACGGGTCTCCCGTAATCAAAGTCCACGCGACGGACGAGGACAAAGGCGTCAACGGCCAGGTGAAGTACTCCATAGTGCAGCAACCCAACCAGAAGGGCACCAAGTTCACTGTCGACGAAGAAACGGGAGAGGTTTCAACCAATAAAGTTTTCGATCGCGAGGGAGATGATGGAAAGTTCGTTTCCGTAACAGTCAAGGCCACGGATCAAGGCGAGCCGTCCTTGGAAGGCGTCTGTTCGTTTACTGTGGAAATAACTGATGTAAACGATAACCCGCCGCTGTTTGATAGACAAGTAAGTGATTAGTGATGGCCTTTGAAGCTGATCAGTGATTGCAGCAAATTTGATTTCGTTTACACATCAGTGCAATGTCTAATAGGAGCTTTGTTAATTTTTAGAAATACGTTGAAAACGTGAAACAAGACGCCAGTATAGGAACAAACATCCTTCGGGTTTCTGCATCGGACGAAGACGCCGATAATAACGGAGCCATAGTGTATACGCTAAACGCCGGTTCGAACGCCGCCGATTTGGAATATTTCGAAATACAACCTGAATCGGGTTGGATTGTGTTGAAGAAACCCCTAGACGTAAGTATGATTTGTAAAATCCGCGAAACGCGTTAGAAAAAGAATCATTTAATATGTGTGCATGGGTGACGAGTGCCTGTTTTGTCCACTGACGTTTCAGGATTAAGGATTGAGGATGGATCCGGAGGACAGTTTGGCGGATTAGGTACGACTGGAATATAAAAGATTTACTGAAATATAACGTGCTGTTTAACTATAAAATTTCTTTTGAAACTTTATCAAACACGTATTTTATGCGGTATTCATCTATGGTTTAATAAGTGTTGTTTGGTAAGGTGGTAAAGAAGTTTCCATTTCAGCACGTTGTATAAATGAAATCTGGTTCGGAAAATAGCTGCTTCTTTCTTCATCATTTATTCAGCGCACCTTAATTTAAGTTGCTCTAGTCGATTAACCAATCGACTGCACTGATCTGTATAACTTTTATTCAATGAGTTTGTTTATACGGCACACCTTGCATAAAACAACTGTACCAGTACTTAACTGTACTTTGTGTTTCGAATTATTTATTTTTATAGTTCCCTGGACGCCAACACCACTCAAGATTTTTCGATATTTTGCACGATTTTTCATCTATGATTGCATAACCATTTCAATTTAACACAGATAAATAATTTACACTAACAGTTGTATATAATTCTTGGATAATTATTGAAGCTTCATTGAAATCTCTAGTTCCTCTCTAAGGTATGATTTTACAGCATCAAATTCTAATTACATTTTACTAATAACTAATATTTTTTATTAATTTTACCTCTAATAATACTTAACTTCATTCAAGCAAGTTACTGGAAGGTTATGCAATAAAAATATTTTCAAATATTCTCTCATTTGTTACTTGTTAAGTTGAATACTGTTTTTTCTTTATTAATTTGGACTTTTCTTGAGTAGTGTTTGCGTTTTTGCACATACTCAGTTACCCTTTTATATATTTTGGAGTAGCAAGGAGCGCTGTTTTGTTTTTTTTTGAAGCCAGCTACTTCAACGACGACATTTTTGGCCGCCTCCCAGTCGGATTTTTTTCACATGCCATCGGAGTTGTGACATTTTTTGCTGAAACGTGATTTTTGAGCCTGTGATGTGATTTTTTGAGTGATTTTTTATTTACAGGTGGATAACGTATTTAACAAATGTTAACGATTTTGGTCGGGAAGCGCGGCAAGAGATGGATGAAGACATGTTTTTTTTTTGGATTTCCCTGGGTGGGGTCAATTTTTTATCGTTCTCTTGCCGTTCTTCTGGACATTGTGACATTTTTACCTGTGTATGGGGCGGCGTACTAACTTTGTATTTAACTAACATAAACGTCCATCCGTTTTTGAAGGTCGTTTAACCAATGCAAATGACTTTTTGCACATCCTTGCTCCCGCCCTAAGCCCTTTTTTGATTTTCAGTTGTTAAAATTTTAATTTCTGCATGAAATGCCTGCTTCGAAAGGTTTTCTTTTAAAGTGGTTATTTATCTTTATTTTTATCTTGTCAGGCGGTTTCTAAAGGAATTTCTTATCAAAGAATTATCAAAAACCTTTTTTATCTACAAAATACATTACATGCCAATGACTTTTGGGAATATGCTTCCTATGACTATGCTTTTTGTATTTAATAGGTGAATATTTCAAACCCATTTTCGAATCTATATTTTAAATAATTGGTATCAACTTTCAAAAAATTAATTTACAGACTTCTATTTACATAATGTTGCACATATTTTAATATAGAAATATTTCTTAAATTGAATACTTTTGGTCAATTTTTCCATAAAAAAGTTCCGAACACTTCATCAATTCACCCTGATACAAAATGATAATCTTCTATTAACATATTAGTTGATATTGAACTAATGATTAAAATTTCCCTAATATATTATTTAATTTGTAAACTATCGACTAACTATGTATTTTCCCTACTATTCAGAGAGAACAGCTTATCTAATGTTTTAATAGCCTATCGGTTGTAAAATGATATATCATAAAAATTATTAATTAATGAACCTAAAAGAGCCTAATGACAAGTGAGTTTTGTTTAATTATGTTGTTTTTGATTTAATGCACTTTTTCTGTTGTCGACTTTAATCTCCGACCATGGAATACAGGGATGTTATTCAGTAAGTAAACTGCTCCCTGCCGACATTACAGCTAATAATTACAGCTGTAGGCAGTAAAGGCTGTATTCGTACATGACGGCCTCTTATGCGTAAATTAAGTAGTAATGATTTTATTTCATTATTTTTATCGATATGTTTAGATGCTGTCAGCAATCAGGTGACTGTGTTTTGGCAAAATTATATACACACATGGCCTATATTAGTTTTTTTACACTTTTTGAATTTTGTCTCTTGTGTATATAATGTAGATACAAAAAGCTTCTATAACTTACGCAATGTATCGCTTAATATTTCGCTTGAAAATTCCTAGGCTAAAATATATTCTATTTATTTCAGATGGCGATAACATATTTAATTTCGCATGTATCTATCTCAATAACTGAAACCCTAATTTTTATATTCGACTGTTCAAACAATTGGGAATCAAATATAATGAGTTTTTTTTCAGGAATGGACCTCCCTGTATCAGATGTTCATATTTTTACCAAAACACAGTCTATTGATCGGTGTTTGTTTAAAAAATCAGATAATGATCTCCTGTCGGCTAAAATTCATCCTTCTTTTAGTTTCATTTTGAAAACCGATGTTGTAAAGTCTTTCAGAAATTGATGTCATTACTTCAAGACTATTTACATCATGTATTTGATGATAAAAGCTCGATGATGATACCAGTTTTTGGTGAATTCGTAATTTACCTTATGTATGTATCTTCCTTTTACATTTTTCTGTCACTTTTATTTAAAATTTTATATTTCTTTAAATGCATCTCTAGAGTCTTTCCATATTCTTCTAATCGAGGGCAATTTTACAGCATATTTCAGGTATAATGTTTTTTCTAGCACCAATGGTTCGACTACTCGTTTATTAATGAATGAGGCAGAAAATGTGGTTAATTTGGCTAAAACAATTTTTTTTGTAAAAATTGCACTAGTTACATTTCTTAGGATAAGCAAAGGTGTTATCCCCGAAACACCTTGTATTTATGCAATTTTTATTCAAATTTGAATCGGTTCTAAATATTATCTTGAATCAAGTTGGAACATAAGCGAAATGTATTTAAGTTTGGAAAATTATAAGTATTTTCATTTGTGTAAACTAAAAATATACATATTTTAGCTTCCAAACGACTAGAATATTAATAAGGGATTATTTGTATTAGAACTGAAGATGAAATATAAAGAAATTGTGATTTTCAAAGATATTTTAAGGATAAAAAAAATTGCTGCTAGTTATTACTCATTGTGATTTCATAATTATTAAAAGAATATGGAAAGTACAGCATTAGTAACAGCTCCATGTAAATTGATTCTAGGGTAAGTACATAACATAAGATTATTTTTATTATTTTCAGTCGAATTTTGAGTTAATAATGTAAATTTCAGCCGTGCATGTCGTAACATAATGTCGAGGGAAATCATTGCTGTTGTACAATCAGACACCAACCAGTTGCCCATTTTACCGAAAATATTATTTTGCTCTTGATTTGTTCTGTTGTGTGATTGAGTTACAAATTATCCGTTTATTTTTTTCGCTATTACGTTCATGAGTGTATTCAGTTTGTTTTTTATGTTCATTCCCTTTTTACCTGACCTGACCGTGCCCGTGTTTTCTATATATAGCGAGACAGGTACCGACTGCGCGTGCGCGCTTCCGATAGAGGCATCCCCCCATCCTACGCGGACGTGGATATAGAATTAGACGTCGTTGACAGAAACAATAAGCCGCCGCTATGGGATCAACCCACGTACGGCCCCATTCACATCAAAGAAAATGTCACAGTGGGTACTGTAGTGACTTCTGTCAAGGCCAGGTTGGTATCGAGAAGAAGCTGAGTCGTCGAAGCAGACCGTTGTCCCGCGGCTCGAAGGGCGGGGGGATCGTGTTCCTGGGGTTAAGCTCGGGACGGCGGTCTGGCGCTAGGAAGTCCATACTACCAGACCATAATCCACTTTTTTCCGTATCTATTTTTTCTGGCAGATGATGAAGCTTGATATCACGGAATCGCCGTACCTCCTTCTTTGTTATCTAGCTCATCGGTATGCTATTTGAACTGGTTTTTGTTGGTGCGTACGATTACAATATGTCGCAATGAATCGCGTTTGGTGAGATTCGTTAATAACTATACAAACATTCGCGTTCATTACGCTATTGGATTCGTATGATTAACATAAACTGGGTTAGCTTTTTTTGATTCGTTTGTCCCTTTCAAATCATAATATTGCTGTTACTGTTGTTCGCGCGTATGTTTAGCGCGAGACCTACAAGTTAGAGGCGACCGCCCAAGATAAAGGCTACCCTCCCCTGTCCCGTTCCGTGGAAGTCCAGATAGATGTCGTGGATCGCGCTAACAACCCCCCGGTGTGGGATCACACTGTTTACGGCCCCATCTTCATACGGGAAAACTTCCCGGTCGGGGCCAAAGTGGTGTCTGTGAAGGCCAGGTCTGTGCCTTTAAGTACTGTCATTGTACGAATCAATCTATCAGTAATAATTGAAATAATCAGTGTCATGGTGACCGTGTGGCAGCACGAAAGCCGCACGGCACACGTCCCGTCTGTTTGTGCACGCTTTATCCAACAAGTTGGGGCCAGCACGTGTCCTCTTATCATATTTTTTATTTTTTATACAAATTCCTCCAAATTTTTTTAATACATTTTTTAACCAAACGAAAATGCGATACCTCTGCAACTGCTGCAATTTTTGTACGAGACAAAGAAGTGGATGATTCGTGCTGCGTCAGTAAATGAATTAAAATCATTTTAAATTAGAACGAGTATTGTTTTTGGAGGAATTTGCAAACCAACACGTCGATCATCATCATTGAAATATTGTCAACATGTCCCGTAGCTCTTTCTGGGTGTGTAGTCCTCCCGATACGAAGCCTAAAACCTATATGATCCTTCGACAGCTGAATGTTGTTGAAGCATGCACCACACGCATTAACTACACTAAGCTTGGGGCTCAGGGTCAATGCAACACCTTTAACAACGTTCAGCTCACCCCATCCGAACCATTCAAACCCTCTCATTTTTTTAGTAACTAGTGACTAGTCTAAGGGAGGATGTGGGTTGGATGCAATCGTCAAGTAAAAAGGCCAAATAAATAATTAGTCTAACGGTTCTAAATCAAAATTTTGTGCAATTAAGTGGCTACGAATCCATTTAATTGGTGGACTTTTTCTCAAATTTGGCGAATGCACAACCTATTCACCTCTTAATATATTTTCGATTCGACTTTATACCGAAAATTGAGTTCATCTCCATCTCTTGAACAACTACGAAATATACGCGTTTTGCTGGTAAAGACGAAGGTTTTAGGGGTTGATTCCTCCCTTCGCGGGGTTGGATATCGATCTCTAACCGACGAGTTTCCAGTGCTACAATCCAGATGGCAGTAGTTGTTTCAAGTGGAAACAAACGGCAGGCTACTAACCAATTGGCAAGTAATCAGTAATTAAACGTCGGAAAATGAGAAACTATTTTGTTTAATTTGGAAGTATTTTTTGTCTATGGGATTACTGAGTACGGATTTCATGAGCATATTTTTATCGTTTGACTACAAGAAATTCATTACGATATGTTTCTAATAACTTATTTAATAAATATTAACTTATTTTTCATACAGTGACTAAAATTTCAACTACTCATATTTCCATAATTAATACATATTGCTATTAGTACTTGAATATCAAATGATGTTCGCAGGAGTAGCTAAAGTATGAATTTGAAATCCCATTGCAAAAAAAGAAAAATAAAACCGACTATTCGACACACTGCAAACCAAATGGAACATTTTTATCGACGCTGTGGCATTCTGGACTTATTTTTGTTGCATGACGATGCTGTAGTTTTTTTATTTTCAAATTTTTGACGTCATAAAAATAAACTTAGGGATGCCTGGCGTCGAATAGAATAGGAATTTTTGATGGTTGCATGTACCATACATATTTTTATTTTTGGAAGTCGTGACAAAAACTCAAAATTATATATTTTTTGAATCGTTCCTATTGCAATTGCATCGGTGGGAAATTGAATATTTTTAATTGCCGCAAATCGCCTTGTCAAGTGGTTTTTTTTTTTCGCAGTACCAATAGGAAATAAAATTTTTGATGCTGTCACGGCTTTTTACACGCGAATTTTGCATGTGGCTGATATATATTTTTGTAAGCCATATATTACAGTTTTTTGCTTCTTGATCGTCGTACACGTTACATAGATATTTTTGAGCTAGCGTGTATCTCTCCACGATTTACCGATTCATTGTACAATTTTTTGTGATTAGTTCTGGCATAGAGAACAACCCGACCGTCTTTTACCGACTCATGCCCGGATCCACGGCCCAAACCAACAAGTACCACACCTTCTATCTGCAGCAGAGGCCGGACAATGGTTTCACATGGGCCGACATAAAAGTCAATCATCCATTAGATTACGAGACGATCAAAGAATATAATCTAACCATCAGAGTTGAGGTGAGTTTCTCTTTCAATACGAGTGGGAATCGTACAATACTTTTCCTATCGCTACAAATTATATAAGCAATGCGTTTACGATTAATAATTTTGTCTTAGAACAACGGTGCTCAACAATTGGCTTCTGAAGCGACGGTTTACATACAGCTTGAGGACGTAAATGACGAGATACCATTGTTTACTGAACGTGAACAGGAAACTGTACTGGAAGGGGAGCCGATTGGAACTAAAGTGACACAAGTTAATGCCATCGATAAGGATGGAACTTTTCCTAACAATCAAGTAAGTACACTGTATTTACCTAGCAATTACTAAATTAAATCGGCTCCATTGAGCATGATATATCAGGATACTATATCGATTGAACCTTTCATAATGAGAAATGTTATGGTAATTTTAATATTGTAATATTTGCTTATGAAATATAAAATTTCACATATAAAGAGAACACATTAAACATTTTTGACCGTATTTGTTTTAAATTGATTTCAATAAAATTCGTACTTGTCAATGCATTAAAACTAGTAAATGAATTCTAGGAATTATTGTTAATTGAAATTATAATTACTGCTAAAATTTCAATTTGTTTTAGGTGTATTACTATATCGTGGACTCTCCGCGTAACGAGGGCAAAGACTTTTTCGAAATAAATAAAGAAACGGGCGAAGTGTTTACGAAAATCGTGTTCGATAGAGAAAAACAGGGCGCGTACGCGTTGGAAATCGAGGCGAGAGATGGTGCACCGTCCGCCAGACCAAACAGTGATAACGAACCCAATTCAGGTGAGTGTAAAATAAAACTATCATAACCCCGTAGTTTTTACAACATTTGGTTTCCCATTACGGCAATCTTTGATCTAAAGTACCCACCCGCTTGCAATTTAAGCCATTAGAATTCGGAATTTTTCGCAGAGTTAACACACACTAATCCGCGAATGTAAATTTAAACCGCATTATAACGTCCGCATGTGAATTGCAAATGCAATTACCCGATCTTCGGGGGCATAAAGTTGTGCAAGTACAATTTTGATGCTTCCATTCCGTTTACCGACGCGTAAGTAGAAAGAGAAATAGAGAAACTAAACCGGAGGATTAGATACCAAGGTGTTATTTGCTAAAGAGAGGCGATGCGAAATTTAAGCTCTAAGTGGTCATTCTGCTGTAAGTTCCGTCCAACTGTGAATTCCATTTGTTAGCCATTATGTCGGATTACAGGATTTTAAAATATTCAATATGTTTGTTTACGGTTGGGATAAATTCGTTTTACGGAAATTCATGAAGCTTTTAATATTTTAGTATTTGAGGTAATAAATTTCTCATTCAAACCTAAATGTCTTTCATACATAAGTTAGGTGGTAAATTCACAAATATTAAAGGTTTGGCTGAGATTCTGTTTATTATTTGAAACTATAAAGTCTATTTTTACATAACACTTTATTAGGTACTTAAAAAGAGAATTGTAATCAAACTTGTCGGTTTCTAATGAGAATAGATAAATTATGCATACTTCGATGGAAAATCCTTTGTGGAATATCCGGGAGCATGTGCCCGATGTAAACGATAGCACGCATTCGAAATTCGCTGGCAAAGTTCCTACTAAGAGACACCAGAACTATGAAGTTTTGTTTGTTGTTGCGAACTTAGTTCCCGCAGGCTGTTTATATCGTCCCCTGCTTCTTTCCCTATCAAAACGAACGAACAACTGTACAAGGCTAGTGCAAAGTAACGCTTGTCGACATCTGATGTTTAATGGAGCTCGGGAGTTCGGAAACTGATTTGCAAATGCAACTTTTTGATGGGGCGTGAATAATGCAGGAAGTTTGGGGGGAAGTTTTAACTAGTTCCTATGCGGCTCCTATACTGATTGATTTTAATCCCGATGCTTTGATTATAACGTCGATGATCCAGTACGTCCGGTTACTCCGCCATTTGGGATACCGCATCGGCATGAAATTTTTTGTGCCAGTTTCAAGCCTCTAATTTGTTTCACAAAAAGTTCAAAGTTAATCGAAATGCCACGGCTTCCTTAAACTCAGGAAGGTATGAATAATTCAGTAACGCTCATTTCATTGTATTTTAATCACCTCATTCCGGCAACATTTAACTCTAAAAAAACTAGTACACTCAGTGACAAAAAAGTACCCGGAAACTTGAAATAATACGCAAAATTTCTAAGCTTCTTTAATTTTTACTTGATCATCTCCTTTAAAATGTGCTCGTTTTGAAGCGATACACGTAGTCAAACGCCTTTTCCAATCCTCGAAGCATTTTTATATACCCTTTTTGTTGCGGCATTTAGCTCCTTCTGCGAATTTTCTTTGATGCCATTTTTGGAGTCAAAACGTTATCCCCGAAGTGGTAATTTTAGTTTGGGAAACTAAAATGCCACACGAGGCTATACCTGGTGAGTAAAGTGGTTGGTCAATGGTACTTCACACGAATCAGCTTGTATCCATCGACAAGTTGACTATACCGTTTTTGAAGAAAGTCAGTTCCATCGAAACGAGCCGAGCCTCAATACGCAGCATGTCTGATTGGTTGAGTAAAACCAAACGAGCGTTCTAACCAAGACATGTTGAGGTCTTTTGCTACTTCTCTAATACTAGCATGATTTTTGAACTCTATTTCCTTAATTTTCTCGCCGTTATCATTGAAGAGATCGAAGACCGTTCGGAACAAGGCAAATCTTTAACGATCTCCCGACTGTCTTTAAAAGTTTTGTACTATTCGTAAATATGGGTTTTCGGTAAAACAGAGAGTCACCTTAAGTATTTGCATCGATTCAACTCATGAAATTTCGTCCAAAATCCAAAATATGAGACTCTTCGTTCATTATTTTGTCCATTCCAAAATTCGCCGAGTACTACCTACAGAAACTTGAAATAGTTAAAAAATATTAAGTGCAGGAAATTTAAATTTGAATTTCCGGATACTTTTTTGTCAGAAAGGTATGTCTGTCCGAAATGGTACGGACATTCGGGGATATTTTAACGAACATTATCTTATTGCATTACTCGCACTTCTTTATTAGTTATCATATTATTATCGTTACAGGCCTGCAATGGAATTACTTTAATTCTTTAGCTATCGAACCTTAAAGTATCTTAAATTGCAAGTTTTCTTGTAATTGCTTTCCCACTGAAGGGATTTATCCTACCCGAAAAAACGCAATCAAAAAATCTAAACCATTCTCTCCTTGGCTTTGGGAAGTTATTAAAGTTTCGAGTGAGCGAAAAGAGCTCTGGCCTCTGCCTTAGTCTTTAAAATCCACGACACATTTTCTTTTTATTCGAATTCATCCGTTTCTCATTGTGCTCTCGTAGCTGAGATTCACTAAAAACGGCTTAATTGGACCAAGAGATTTTGGGTCAGCTTAGAGAGAAAATAAAGTCTGGAAAGTTAACCGAGGTCGAGGAGTGGTATGCAAAAAGAAAGAAAAAGAAGTCTCGAGTCCAAGCACTGATATGCGGGCTGAAATATTTTTTGCTGAATACTATACTTACTCCATACTTAAATAACTTTTTTTATTGCCGCTATAAAATTTAGTATGGAAGTTAGCGACGCACAAAAGAGAGAATGGGGCCCCATCGAAATGGCCACTACAGTAAACACACCGGGTCTGTTTCATTGTTCGGGACTCTCTTCCCTTGTTCGTTAGGTTTTGTTAAATAAGTGATATTTGCAAACAGTGAGTTGCGAGCATAAATTATTACGAATTCGTTTATTCACACACAAACGGCTATTTGGAAACTTTTGTATACTGTATACATGAGAATAAAGTGAACATTTTACACATAATTTGAGCAGAATATTTTAATAAGAATCGGGAAAGCTATTAATTATTATTCGGTAGGTAGGTACTGGATTTCATAAATTCATTATGCACCATACGATTGTAACATTAATACTTAATAAGCTTGCTTAGATTCAAAATCTTTTGTAACATCAACGTGAAACACATGCGACACCATGGATGATAAAACAAAAATATGTACAAGTAAAAGAGCTGCATTTTTGAATATATTTGCTCGCGAGCCGACCGTCACGTATTTTAGTGTTATTTTATAGCGCTGCTTTGGTACAGCATTTATTTTTCAGTAACCCTGTGAGCGTAATTTTCTCGCTCTCTAGCAGATCACAAAATTTAATGGCGTCGCAGCCGCGGATGTTATATCACTCTACATAATATTTTTTATATTAAAACATACAACAGCTTTGCACGACGTTTAGAATTCTAACTGTTGTTTTCGTATAAGCGATGTTTTATTAAACGCACATTACCGCAAAGCTTTTTAAAGCAAATTTAGCGAAATCTGCGAAGGGATTAACGGTTAAAACGGCAAAACCTTTCGAGAAATATACTTTAGAGAAATTATTTACGAAAATTTTCCGGCGTAATTGTACTGTGAAACAATGTTGATCTTTTAGAATCTTCTCGAGTGTTCGGAAAAACGATTCTGTAATTCGCAAAGAAAATACAATTTCAGCTCGTTCATCTACAAATATTACAGTTTTCCGACGCTCTGTTTATGTTCGATTCAAATGCTTATTAAGGACGAGGGAGGTGTCGAATTTACATTGATTAATCCTTCTCGTGTTCGTTTTTGATGGAATGTTTGCTTCATCTATCGCAATTTACTGAAAGGTCATAGGCTTCTGTCGACGGATTTTAATATGAGTGATATATTGTGTATTTTACAAATTGTAAAATATTGAAAATACACAATCATATTTTTATTGGTATATTACGCTTGGAAAAATCCTCTGATGGGTTATAAATCTTTCAGCAAATATTCCGAAACAACCAGAAATTCCGAAATTGTGTTGCTATAAATATACTAAATTCGCCATTCTTTTTAATTATTCATTTCCATTTTCTACCTTTATCAAATATACGTCAAAACCATAGGTAATTTATACATACACATCCATATCAAACCTTTTTAAATGAAAATAAGCGCTGTGGGTAAAGAAACGCGATAGGTAATGATAAAATGAACAAGTAATTTTAAACTTAAAAGAGGAACGAAGGGATTAGGCACTACAGCACAAGTAACAAGCACAAGAATTTGAACGAACGTCTTCTTTAGTTTGCTTTTACAGGATACTTTTTAATCTTGGAAAGCAAAAGCAATTTTTCAGTTTTATATATCTTCACAATGTCATTCAGCTCGCCTTAATTTTCCTTATTTGGCCGCCGGCGCCAAAAAGACACTGGTAATGCGAAAACTAATAAAGTATTATTAAAGTCTCTTAACATTTTTTTCGTGTTGCTTCCTCGAATTATGCGCTTATCTGCATTTTTATACTTCCCGCTTTGCTGAATGCGGACCGCCGGAAGGGAGAATTTCTCTGTTCTAAAAAATACAAAAATACAACGAATTCGAGAGTTTTTGCGATACCAACTAATACACTCGAGCGTATAATTTTATTGCGGACTTACAATTATTTGATGCAGTACTGCGCCAACAACTCACTTTGGATTATTAAATTGTACGCGTAGCATTGATTAAAAATTTTCGCACGTCTTCCTTCCTTCGCAATAAAAATACCAGAAACCCTCGCAGACGTTGACAAAAAGAAATATTCTTCTTGAGTAAATATTTCCTTATGAAAACTTTTAGGGGGAAGTGGAGCAAAAATATGTTTATGCAGTGCTGAAATTGAATTGTTATTTAGTATAGGTAATGGGTAATTTACAAAAAAACTTTATGATTGAATACTTGTTTAAAGTTTTAGGTAGGTATTATTTTGACCTAGCCTAGTTGAGTTGTAATTCCTCG